GGAAACTCCATACGCCCTGGAGACCGCAAGCCAGTGGTGTAGTGGAGCGTACCAATCAGACCCTTAAACGGCATCTCTCAAAAGTGTGCCAAGAAGCCTCACTGCGATGGCCTGATGCTTTGCCCCTCGTCCTACTCCGTATCCGCGTTCTCCCAAAGGGTAGATTAGGGCTCAGTCCCTTTGAAATTATGTTTGGAAGGGCATGGCCTATGAATGGCACCCCAGTTCTGTCAGGGGAATGGGAGTTGGGTAATGGTTTTTTGTCACAGTGTATGTGTTCCCTGTCTGCTGTTCTCTTGTCTCTTCACAGGTATACCAAGGATTCCCAGCCTGTCCCCTTGGACTCTCCCGTTCACTCCTTACAGCCCGGTGACTCTGTGCTTGTTTGCACCTGGAAAGACGAGCCTCTCCAGGAAAAGTGGAAAGGACCCTATACCGTCCTGCTGATCTCCCATACAGCGGCAAAGATCGAGGGCCACAAGAACTGGATCCATCACTCTCGTCTGAAGGCAGTAACCGCCCCCTCATCAGCAGGACAGTGGACCATCCAACCTGCTGACTCCTCATCTAGTGACGATCTCGGGCTAAAGCTACTGTTTAAAAGACACAAATAGCGGGCGCCTTAATGCTAAAATGGGCCCACCCAGGTACTGGAGACCCTGGGTTGGGAAGACTCTGGTCATAATTAATTGGGTAACATTGTTATTCTCTGTATTGGTATTTCCAAACTGTGCATATCGGGAGCATAACTCCTTTGTTTTGCTTGCGCACCATGTTGCTACTTTAACAAACCAGACTGATTGCTGGGTATGTGCTCCAACTCCACTATCCCCCAAAACGGGAATGCCCCTTGACATGCTGCCCTTGACCCTAGCAGAATTAGCCACCACCAAAGAGCAGGAAAGAACGGACTCACCGTTCTGGAATAAGACCTCTTTACAGCAGGCCACCTATCAGGACCAGGAGTATTCAGTTGCTGTACGCACTGAGGAAGTATTATGTTTTACCCGAAACCAATCTGATCACTATGGGCATCCTGTGGGAAAGAGCTCCTGTGTTATTACACAGTGGGCTGATGGGTATTGGATAAAGACCAACAGGGGAGGCCAACAGTGTGGGTGTAATGGTTCCTCCCCTTTTAGGGAAACACTTACAAATAATCTTACCACAAAAAAGGGGTTTGGAAATGTAACTTGCTGTCCAGTTAATATCTCCAATGTAGCAAGCCAATGGTGGGTTTGTAGTGATCCCTATGGCGAGTGTAATTTGAACAGCACAATTAGAAACGCCCCCACTTGTACCCAATCAAAAAAATAAGATGCTCCCATAGAGGCATATAAATTGTTTAAAAAAGCAGCCAAAGCAGCCTTAAATATCCCAGGAATCCCCTTAAGAAACAGTCCTTACTGGGCCCTACAAGGTCACTATTTTGTATGTGGCCGAAAGGCTTACAAGGTGCTGCCAGCCAACTGGACAGGTAGCTGTTATATAGCTCATGGAGTTCCTCATCTTTCCATAACTGCCACACTGCCCAAAGGAAAGATTAGAAATGCCCGAGACACCTCTGTTGAGTCACGAGAAAAGACCCTGCGGCGACTGACTACGGCATTAGAGGGCAATATGAAGAATCCCCTCACAACCGAGAAGCTGGTAGGGTGCTCTGTACTGGGAATAGCACCACTGTTTACTGGGCCAGCCATGGCATGCATAGGCCGCTATACTGTAAGGCTGCAGATGGTACTTAAGAAGGTGGCCTTAAAGTTAAAAAACTCAGTTAGTAATTTAGGGTCAGCAGTAAAAACTTTAAATAAAGAGGTACAGCAGCTCAGGACGTTTTCTCTCCAAAACAGGCTGGCTTTGGACTATCTCTTGGCATCCCAAGGAGGGGTTTGTGCCCTCGTCGGGCCCCAATGTTGTGTATATGTAAATGATAGCAGTTATGAAATCTATAAAAGGGGGTACAGGCTGAGGCCCATGCCCGAGCCGGAGCACAGGTTGCCTATACTGCCCCAGAAAACGATTGGTTGCAAACCTTGTTTTCAGGCTGGCGTTTGTCGTCTTGGCTTGGTGGTTTATTTAGCCTGCTATTGAAAATTCTCTTTCCTGTATTGCTTGTATTACTGGTATTATGCTGTGCAGTATCATGTGTCAGGGCCCTTTTGCAAAAGTTAATAAGTCATTCTCTTCAGGGCTATCACAAAGTGCTTATGCAAAGTCATATTGTAAAGAAATAAGTAGCCCAAGTGAGAAAACTCAGAGCCAAGGCTGTTGAGTGTTCTCAAAGGGGGGAGTTGTTGGGAACACTGGGGCATGGCCACTAGGTAACTCGAGGGCATGGAAGACCACGAGTGTCGATGAAGCCTCCTTGCACTAGGCCCCGGTGTCCTTGGCCCCCCCTCCTGCCTGGAGGCACTCGCAGCAGCTCTGCGTACTAGGCCCAAGTGTCCTTGGCCCCCCCCGCCTGGAGGCACACACAGCAGTTATGCTGAGAATCTGCAACAGTATGTTGCAGAGTCAGACTGCCTGAAACTAGCAGCTTTATGTATAGTTTAACAAATGATACAGAGAATCAGGGAACTAGCTGGGAACTGGATTGGCTGGCTATATGGATACTTGGGGCAGCTTGCTATTGGACAAGTATGCTGGAAAAAAGGATGTATAAAAGCCTGTGTAACTTCCTGCTCTGTTGTGCAGGATTTGAGATTTTATTCTCCCTGTACCTTTTTGCAGCTGCAAATAAACTTTTCTGCTTCTCCACCCCGTTGTGATTATTGGGTGCAGCACACCGGGTAACGAACCAACTCAAGCTGTTGTTCAGCCTCTCGGCACTGGGTGCCGGCAACACTCCCAACCCCCTTCTCTCTTCCCAGGGGCAAAATGGGATCCTCCCTTCCCACCAGTTTTAAACCCCTCTTCTGTGGCCTGCTCTCAATAGATGCCTGAGTCTGTTCAAAGGCATCAGCTAAAAAAGCCATCTCATCCACAGTTTTTACATTTTTATCCCATAGACACTGCTTTACATCAGCCTTACACATGCTCAAGAAATGCTCTTGAGCAACAAGATCAAGCATTCCTTCAAAACTTGCCACCTCTTTACCCCTCACCCATTTTCCCAACAAATCTTTCATTGTTTACATATTCCTCATTACTCTTCCCAACAACCCTTTTAAGATTCCTAAATTTAATTCTATATGTTTTGGGGGTGTCACAAATATAAAGGGAAGGGTAACAACCTTCCTGCATACAGTATATAAAATCCCTCCTGGCCAGAGGCACAAAATCCTTTTACCTGTAAAGGGTTAAGAAGCTCAGGTAACCTGGCTGGCACCTGACCAAAAGGACCAATAAGGGGACAAGATACTTTCAAATCTGGGGGGGAGTTTTTGGTCTGTCTGTTGTGTGTGCTTGCTAGACATAGATCAAGGAAGCAAGCAATCCAACTCCATTAGAATTAGTAAGTACTAGCAAGCGAATGCGTTAGCTTATTTTTGTTTTGGCTTGTGATTTTCTCTGTGCTGAGAGGAAGGTGTATTCCTGGTTTTCTGTTTGTAACTTTAAAGTTTGGCCCAGAGGGAAATCCTCTGTGTTTTTGAATCTGATTGCCCTGTAAGATTATCTTCCATTCTAATTTTACAGAGGTGCTTCTTTTACCTTTTTTCTTTCTAATAAAGTTCTGTTTCTTTTAAAATCTGATTGGGGTTTTTTGTGTGTCTGTGCTCATCTTGTTCATTCTCAAGCCTCCCCAGGAAAGGGGATACGGGGGCTTTGATGGAAATTAGGGGGGAGTAGGAACTCCAAGTGGTCCTTTCCCTGAGTTTGTCTAAATTGCTTGGTGGTGGCAGTGTTACCTAATCCAAGGTACACGGGAGAATTTGTGCCTTGGGAAGTTTTTAACCTAAGCTGGTAGAAATAAGATTAGGGGGTCTTTCATGCGGGTCCCCACGTCTGTACCCTAGAGTTCAGAGTGGGGAGGGAACCCTGACAGGGGGTAATCTGAAAACTTTGCAAAACACTATCTTTAAATTTACAGTAGTCTAAAGCAGTGGTTCTCAAAGCTAGTCCGCCACTTGTTCAGGGAAAGCCCCTGGCGGGCCGGGCCGGTTTGTTTACCTGCTCTGTCTGTGGGTTTGGCCGCTCACGGCTCCCACTGGGGAAGCAGCGCAGGCCGAGGGAACCACGATCGGCTAAACCTGCGGACAAGTCAGGTAAACAAACTGACTCGGCCTGCCAGGGGCTTTCCCTGAACAAGCGGTGGACTGGCTTTGAGAACCATTGGTCTAAAGCATCTCCAATCGGTATTCCATTGAATATATTTTGAGCTTTACCAGTTAATTCTGCAATCAGGGTAGGAACTCTCTTATTACCAGGGAAAGCATCTATTACACATAGCTTTTTGAAGGTAGTCAGATATTCAGCAATAGTGTCCTCCTCACTATATGCATGATTTAACTGGGAATTGGTCCTGCTTTGAGCAGGGGGTTGGACTAGATGACCTTCTGGGGTCCCTTCCAACCCTTATATTCTATGATGACGTAAGTGCGCCTATTTGTGGACTTCTGGAGTGATGGCAGTTGGTGGTGCTGGTTCTGGTTCTCTACTCTAGCAGGTCCAGTAGGCGTTTTCTCTCTCTCCTTTTCTTCTACAGCTCTTCCGTGTGCACCGTCCTCTCTGACCCTGCCATGGCCCAGCTGCCCCAAGACAGGGAAACTCCTCGCCGCCCCCGCCGTATCCTGGCACACCACCCCCGCCCCAGGCCGCAGGCTGGGGTGGGGCCAGGAGGCCGCCCCCTGGGGCTGCCTGGCGGAACCGGTCGGCACCGCTACGCGAGGGGCGTGGTTTACCCTGGCTCCTGAGATCTGGCTGTTCCTGCGCTAGACCAGCTCCTTGCGCGCCGTAGTCCCTGTGACGTTTGTGGTTACTATGGGAATGCCGTTGCGTGCTGTATGATTGGCCGGCCTGGGTGGAGGGACACGTCTGCCGCTGGGATTGGTCAGGAGGCCCGGCCTAGGCTTCCCCGTCTGCGGGGCGCGGCGGATGGATGAGCGCGGGTGGGCTGGAAAAGGAGCTGGATAGACTGTCGGGCAGGGGGCGGAGCAGGAGCAGGAGCAGGGCGGGCCCTGCCCCCGCGCGCCGGCCTGACGTGGCGGTTCCCCTCCCCACACAGGGCGATGAAGGCGCTCATCCTGGTGGGTGGCTACGGCACCCGGCTGCGGCCGCTGACACTCAGCACCCCAAAGCCGCTGGTGGAGTTCTGCAACAAGCCCATGCTGTTGCACCAGCTGGAGGCTCTGCGCCAGGTAGGGCCGAGTCCCGAACCCCGCCCGCGGCGGCTCCCAAGCCCCCGCCGCTGACGCGCTTTCCCTTTCCCCGGCAGGCGGGCGTCAATCACGTGATCCTGGCTGTCAGCTACATGTCGGAGGTGCTGGAGGGGGCGATGCGGGAGCAGGAGCAGCGGGTGAGACCGGGCCGCGGGGAGCCATGTGGAAGGGTTGGAGGGCGGGGTGCGGCTATGTAGAAGGGGCGGGGGGTTGGGAGCATGGGGGGACAGGGGAAACCATCTGGGGGGGTTGGGCAGAGCAGGGTGGCATCGGGGATATTTTGGGGGGGGGCAGGAAATGGCCGTTAGTGCAGTGCATCCTCCTGACCCTGGATTCTTTTACCTTTCTCAGTTGGGCATTCGCATCTCCCTGTCCCATGAGAAGGAGCCACTGGGCACAGGTGAGTCTGTGCCCATCCCACATGCTCCGTGGGGCCCCCTTCAGGGTCAGCTGAGGGGCCCGACTACCTGCTCATGTGGTTTACAGGGATGGGGTGAGGCTTCTCATCCCAACGCCACCCGCTTGCATAAAACTGAAGCTAAACGGCTAGCTCAGCGCAGGGTGGAGCCAGTGCCTGCTGGCAGCTGTTGTATCCACTCTGGGGAGCAGTGGGTGGCCTTGCCCCCTGCCAACTCTCTCTGAGCCATATTCCCTCCACAGCGGGACCCCTGGCGCTGGCCCGGGAGCTGCTGACTGAGAGCTCGGAGCCTTTCTTCGTCCTTAATAGTGACGTGATCTGCGACTTCCCCTTCACAGACATGGTGCGCTTCCACAAGCACCACGGCAAGGAGGGCTCCATTGTGGTGAGTGCCCAGGGCTGACTCCTGGAGGTTGGAACAGGACTGGCTCCTGCCACCCCCTACTGACTTGGCGTACCAGGCTACACTTGTTCCTGGGCTTTTAGGGGCACAGCCAGGAGTTCTGGAACCTGTGTAAAAATGGGGGGCCATGCCCCCTGCCCCTCCCACCCTAGCCTGGCTTGAAGCTGGAGCCGGGCTGGGATAAGGGCTGCCTGGGCCAGGATAAGAGCTGCCCAGGCTGCTGTGGGGAGTCCCAGGACCCTCCACCTGCCAAGAGCAGCCCCCAGCCTGTGTTCTCACCCTGGAGGTGCACCACCCAGACCAGGTGGAGGGTTTGGGGTTCCCCACAGTTGCCTGGGCTCCCTGCGCAGCTATTACCATGGCCTGGCTCTGGCTTCTGGCCTGGCCAGGGGGCGGGGCCTCAGGAGGAAGAGGAGGAGCAGGGGGCAGAGTTCCTTGGTGAAATGAGGGGGCTAAGGCTCACCTTGGCTCCCCACTGGGAAGAAGCTGGTGCTACTGGCAGGGGCAACACTTTGTGGTGGGAGGACTGATCACATTATCAGCTCCCCAGGCATGAAGCACAGCCCTGCCACTGCCTCTATGACCCTCCCCCAGGGGCGGCTCCACCAATGTTTGGGGCTGGGTCTCTCCCCCTGCCCTGCCTGCCGCCCCCACGTGCCTTCTGCGGAGCATCCCCTGGCCCCGCCTGCCACCCCCATGCGCCTCCCCCGAGTGTCCCTGTCTGTTGTGGGCAGCGGGCTGCTGCTCTGCGCTACGCTCCCTTGCTGGCAGCTGCCACAGCCGACTTACAAGGGAGCGGCACTGGGGGCAGGCTGAGACAGTTGCTGCACCGGAGGAGGCACATGGCAGCCCCACTCCTCTCTCCTGGCAGGCAACTCTGGGGTGGGGGTGGGGGGCTTATCTTGGCTGGACCTCCTGAGCAGCAGCCTGCAGGAGCTTGGGTGAGTGTTGGGCTGGGGAGGGGATCCCCCCTCCCCCAGAGCTCACTGCTGACAGTGGGGAGAGGGTTGGGGGGAGTCCTCTCTGGCCCCCAGCCCCTGGGCAGCCTGCCTGCTGCACCCCAAACTCCTCATCCCTGGCCCAGCCCCATGCCCCTCCCACACCCCAACCCTCTGTCCCAGCCCAGAGTCTACACCCAGCGCCCAAACCTCCTCCCGCACTCGAACCTCCTGCCCGAGCCCAGACCCTGCCCCCAGCAGCCAAACTCCATCCTAGAGCCCACACTCCTCCCGCACCCAAACTTCTTCCCAGAGCCTTAGGCAGGTGTGTGGGGGGGGGGTTGGGGCGGACTTGGACCTGTTCTGGGCACCACCAAAAATTATACAAACCAGCAGCCCCTACCCCCCCCCCCCCCCCGTTCTGGCCCCCCTGAGTAGAGCTGGCAGAAATGGGACTACTGGCTATGCAGTCCTGGCCAAGTCCTTTCCCTGTGCCTCAGTTTCCCTGCCTGTAAAAAGGGGAAACCGTCCTGGCCAATGTAGTGACTGGCCTGGTAGAGCCCACCTGGCCTTCCCTCAGTCATCCCACAGGGAGGTGCCTTGCGGTGACTTTGCCTTGCAGGTGACAAAGGTGGAGGAGCCCTCCAAGTACGGGGTGGTAGTGTGCGAAGCCGAGACAGGGCGCATCCACCGCTTTGTGGAGAAACCCCAGGTGTTCGTCTCAAATAAGATAAATGCCGGCATGTACATCTTCAACCCCAGTCTCCTGCACAGGATCCAGGTAGGGAGCTGGTCACCTGTGGGCCCAGCCTTCAGAAGGGAGAGCAATGGCTGGGGGTGGGAGGGAGGGATGCATGTCTCCTGGTCCGCACCCCTTCCCTCCCCGGGTTTGTGTGCATGTGTAGCAGAGGGCAGATGGAGGCTGAGTGTTGGGCTGGGGTTTTTCTAGGAGACAGAGGAGGCTGTGGAAGGGGAGGGGTTCCCAGCAGTTAGGGCACTGAAACAGATCAGGTGGAGCCCGGGGGCATGGAAGCAGAGACCAGGCCCAGCCAGGAGCTCTCATGACCACCTGGAATCTCTAGGCTGCATGTAGGTTTAACAGCCAGGTGCTTGGAGGGCATTGTGGGAACTGGGAGGCTGTGCACTCGGGTTAATGGGAGCACCAGGCTGGAGGAGATGCCCCTGACTGGGTGCTGTGTGTCTGTCTGCAGCTGCGGCCCACTTCCATAGAGAAGGAGATCTTCCCAGTGATGGCTCAGGATGGGGAGCTCTATGCCATGGAGCTGCAGGGTAAGGGACCCCGCTGAGACCCCTTCCCAGCCCCAGAGTAAAGGAGACATCCATCTCCCCGCTCTCTGCTCTGCCTTGGGAAACAGTCCTGGCCCTCCCCCTCTCTGCCCCAGCACAAAGGAAACCTTCTGCCCCAAGTCTGTGTGCCTCTTGTGCCAGTGGCATCAAGTGGGTATATGAGCTGCCTCCTCTGGGCCAATCCAGGAGGATGGGGGGAATCTCCTGTGCTTGTTGTGGGGGCTTGACCTGGCCCTGTTGCCCTTCCTGTAGGCTGTGAGTGCTGCTCTGTCCCTACAGGCTTCTGGATGGACATCGGGCAGCCCAAGGACTTTCTGACGGGCATGTGTATGTTCCTGCAGTCGCTGAGGGTCCAGCACCCAGAGAGGCTGCATGCGGGCCCTGGCTTCATGGGGAACGTGCTGGTGGTGAGTATCTGTGCTCTTCCGCCTAGCGGTGTGCTTGGGACGCTGCTTCCATCCTGACATGGGTGGGTGTAGACCCACCCACAGTGTGACACCCATGGTGGGCTTGCAGTACCCCGGTCACCCTGCTGCTCGCCTCCCCCCCATTTCTCGGGAGCTGAGCTGGTTTGTGTGGGTTCTGATGGTAGGGCTCTGTAACTGGCCGTGGGCTTTGGCTTACTGAGCTCTGCTGCAGTATGCTAGGAAATTCAGACCCAGGACACTAACTGGCACTGGCCTCCAACCTGTGCACCCCATGTGGGACCCCAGCAGGCCTGCTATGGCCAGCCCAGCCCGGTCCCTCATCCCACTGGGGCCCTCCCAGATGGGGAGTGTGGGCTGTCTGGGCCCTGTCTGAGGAAGCTGAGACAGGGCCCTTGCTGTCCTGACACCAGCCTGAGCTAGTCCTGGCCAGGGGTCATCTAGGCTCAGGCTTTCCAGCCCAAGGAAAGGGGCTGGCTGTAATTCTCTCCCTTGGGCAGTGCCTGGGGCCAGCCCACAGGGAGGGAGTGAAAAGAACAGAACGTAAGAATGGCCACACTGGTCAGACCAAAGGTCCAGCTAGCCCAGTGTCCTGTTTTCCGACAAGGGCCAATGCCAGGTGCTTCAGAGGGTGTGAGCAGAAAAGGGCCATTATCAAGTGATCCATCCCCTGGTGTCCAATCCCAGCTTCCGGCAATCAGAGGCTAGGGACACCTGGTGCTTGGGTTGCATCACTGCTTGGGTTGCATCTCTTGGCTAATAGCCACTGATGGACTGATCCTCCAAGAACTGATCTCATCCTTTTTTTGAACCCAGTTATACTTTTGGCCTTGCCAGGGGATGTTGTGAATGAGTTTCCCAGGTTGACTGTGCATTGTGTGAAAAATGTTTGTTTTAAACCTGCTGTCTTATTAATTTCATTGGGTGACCCCTAGTTCTTGTGTTATGTGAAGGGGTAAATAACACTTCCCTATTCACCTTTTCCACACCAGCCATGATTTTATAAACCTCCATCATATCATCCCTTGGGGTCTCTTTTGCAAGCTGATCAATCCCAGTCTTTTTAATCTTCGCTCCTATGGAAGCTGTTCCATACCCCTAATCATTTTTGTTGCCCTTCTCTGAACCTTTTCCAATTCTAATATCTTTTTTGAGATGGGGCAACAAAAATACACACATTGTTCAAAGTGTGGGCATACCATGGCTTCATATAGTGGCATTATAATATTTTCTGACTTATTATCTATCCCATTTCTAATGATTCCCAACATTCTGTATTCTTTCTTGACTGCTGCTGCACACTGAGTGGATGTTTTCAGAGAACTATCCACAGTGACTCCAACATCTTTCTTGAGTGGGAACAGCTAACATAGACCCCATTATTTTGCACGTACAGTTAGGATTAAGTTTTCCAATGTGCATTATTTTGCATTTATCAACATTTAATTTCATCTGCCATTTTGTTGCCCAGACACCCAGTTGTATGAGATCTCTTTGTAACTTTTTGCAGACTGCTTTGGACTTAAATAATTTTGCATCAGCTACAAACTTTGCCACCTCACTGTTTACCCCTTTTCCAGATCATTTACTAATCTATTGAACAGCACTGGTCCCAGTACAGATCCCTGGAGGACCCTGCTATTTACGTCTGCCCATTCTGAAAATGGATCATTAATTCATACTCTTTGTTTTCTGTTAACTAATTACTGATCAATGCGAGCCTTCCCTCTTATTCCATGACAGCTTACTTTGCTTAAGAAAGCAAGTCCAAGTACACGTACACGATATCCACTGGATCACCTTTCTCCACATGTTTGTTGGCCCCCTCAAAGAATTCTAATAGATTGGTGAGGCATGATTTCCCTTTACAAAAGCCATGTTGACTCTTCCCCAACAAATCGTGTTCATCTATGTGTCTGAATTCTTCCTTTACTATAGTTTCAATCAATTTACCAGATACCGAAGTCAGGCTTACCAGCCTGTAATTGCTGGGATCACCTCTGGAGCCTTTTTTTTTTTAAATTGGTATTACGTTCGTTATCTGGTACGGAGGCTGATTTAAGTGATAGGTTACATACCACCATTTGTAGTTCTGCAATTTCATATTTGAGTTCCTTCAGAACTCCTGGGGAATAACATTTGGTCCTAGTGACTTATTACTGTTTAATTTATCACTTTGTTCCAAAACCTTCTCTATTGTCACCTCAATCTGGGACCATTCTTCAGATCTGTCACTTAAAAAGAATGACTCAGGTGAGGGGAATCTCCTTCACACCCTCTGCAGCGAACACTGACGCAAAGAATTAATTTTGTTCTCCATAATGACCTTGTCTTCTTTGAATGCTCCTTTGGCACCTTGATGGCCTAGTGGCCCCATTGATTGTTTGGAAGGCTTCCTGATTCTGATGAACTTAAAGGATTTTTTACTGGCAGTTCTTCTCTTTTGCTAATTGCTCTTCAAATTCTTTCTTCAGCTGTCTCATTCGTTCATTCCTTCTTAAGCCCCTGGCATTGGCCACTGTTGACAGACAGGACATTGGGCTAAATGAAGTGTTTGGTCTGATTCAGCATGGCCATTCTTATGTTAATTATACTTTTATACTTCACTTGCCAGAGGTTAGGCTCCTATTTTCCTCTGTAAGATGTGACTTGTAATTTATAAAGCCTGCCTTTTTGCCTCTCACCACCTCTTTTACTCTGCTGGTTCGCCATGTCACATTTATTTTTGTTCCTCTTACTATTTTTTTTTATTTGTGGGGTAGGCTTAAGCCTCTATTATGGTGGTTTAAAAAGTTTCCATGCAGTTTGCAGGCATTTCACTAATGTGACTTAGTTTTAATTTCTGTTTTAACTAGCTTCCTCATTTTTGTGTAGTTCCCCTTTTTTTAAGTTAAATGCTACTATGATGAGTTCCTTTGGTATTCCCTCCACCCCCCAGATGTTAAATTTAATTACATTAATTACATTATCACCAAGCGGTTCAACTATATTCGCTTCTAATCTCTATCAGCATTTCATAATCACTGTCACTATTCTGGTCAGGTGGTCGGTAGTGTATTTCCTACTGCTATACTCTTATTATTCAAGCATGGAATTTCTATCCACAGCAATTCTGTGGTGCTGTTTGATTCATTTAAGATTTTTACAAGTTTCACTCTGTTTTTTCACACTCCCCCACTAGCACGACCTACCCAGTTGTTACAACATCTATAGGATGCTGGTTTTACCGTCTCCCATTGATTATAATCATTTAACACCAGGCACTCAAGTTCTCCCATCTTAGTATTTAGACTTTTTGCATTTGTATATAAGTGCATAAAAAAATTGGTCAGTGTTTAGTTGTCTGCCTTCATGTGATATAATTGAATGGGACTCTTTCATTTGACTGTTTCTCTTCAGTTCCTACTTGCACTTTATCAATTTTTGTCCTTGCCTCTTTACTAGGACATAGAGAATTCCCATTAATAGATCCTCCAAGGGATTTCTGCCCAAACCATGCACTCCTCTGCACCTGTCAGCTTTCCCCCAGCCCTTAGATTAAAAACTCCTTTGCAACCTTTTTAATTTGACGTGCCAGCAGTCTGGTTCTGTTTGGGTGAGGTGGAGCCCCTCCCTCCAGTACTGGCTCCTTCTCTCTCTAATAAACCTAAGCCCCTCTTCCTAACACCATTGTCTGATCCATGCAATGAGACCTGCCTGTCTGGCACTGAAATTGGAAGCATTTCAGTGTAATAGAGCACTTCCATTTTCCTGGACTCTAGCCTCTTACCTAGCAGCCTACATTTGGCCTCCAGGACCTCCCCTGCCTTGCCCTATGGCACTGGTACCTACATGCACCATGACCACTGGCCCCTCCCCAGCGCTGCACAAAGTCTGTCCTAGATGTCTTGAGAGCTGCACCTTTGCACCTGGCAGATAATTCACCATGTGGTTCTCACAAACTGAGCTGGTTTTATAATAATTGAATCCCCCATTACTATTACCTATCTCTTCCTAGTTAGTGGGGTCTCTCCCCTGGAAGGGTGTCCTCAGTGTGAGATGAGGGTCCCAATTAAGGGTTTATTGCCTTTTGCTCCAGCTTGATGTTCTTTCCCTGAGACCTTCATCCTCCTCAGCAGCCCCGAGGCTGTCAGGCCAGGGGTGGGCCCGCTCTGCTGTGTCCCATAAAGTCTAGTCGTTGTAATGTTGTCTCCCTTAGCTCTGTCAGTTCAGCCACTCTAGTCTCTGAGGGCCAGGAGCTGTCTGCAGCCACATGTCTATGAGGGAGGTAATCATCCATGCTGTATTCAGTGCAATAAACTGGAGAGACCCTGCTCTGCTCCTGGACTTGTACTTTTGCCTGCAGTATTTGTACTCTTGGAGCCTGTGGTGGGGGAAGGGATAGTTTCTTGGCCTAACTTTAGGGAACAGAAAGTATATCTGGCTCTCTCGCTCACTCTCTAACCTCCTCTCACTAGTTCCGCTTGTTGCTTTGGAGCTGGCTTTTCAACCCTTGTCTACATGAGTAGCTCTGCCCGCTGGTTAACAGTTCAAGACTTAGGGATTGAAGCTCTCAGCTAGCCTCAGCACATGGCCCCCAACCAGCCCACACGATACATTTCAGTCAAACAGGCCCACAGCAAGCACATGCTGTACTCATCCCAAGGGTCGGGCAGAGCTCTGTGGAGTGCTACAAACCTGGGGTTTGCAGGCAGCCTCGCTGGCTGAGCAGGTCCCAGAAAGGTGAGGGCTGTGCTGTCACGGGGGTCCTGAGGAGGCCTCTGACCTACAGCACTTTGAGTATGGCTGAGCACTGCAGCTCCCCCCGAAGCAGTCTGCATGGGCTGAGCAAGGTGGGCTGGCCCATTCTGCAGGCACAGGCCATTGCAAGCATCTGTAACAGCACTTCCTTTAGAAGGAATGTGGCTAGGGGCAGCTATCCCCTCCCATGCAGGACTGTGCCAAGGCATGGTTCTGTAGGGACAGGATGACCCTGGGATTGCCTAGAGGGGAACCTGGGGTGGAGACTCCCCTCTCTCTCTTGCCTGCCTGCACCAGAGCTCAGCAACTGACCTGAGAAGCAGGCCCTCGCTGGGCTACCAGGTCTGGCATCTGTGTCTAAGTACTGGTAGGCTCAGCATTGGGGGCGGGGGGGGGGGTTTGCTGGCAGGCTCTCATCTCTGTGGGGGAGCTATGGGGCCTCCTTCGCCAAAGTGGGCTGGAACTCCCTGCTGCTGGGTGAGGGTCCCCTATGCTGACAGAGAATCAGCCAGGACTTGGGTCCATGACTTTCCTTGCTTACCCATCTGCTCTGTTCTCAAAAGGCAGCTCCTCCAGCAAGCCATGCTAGGCCGTGGCCAGATACCCCTAGCACCATGAGGGCTGGAGCAATAGGGATTGGTGCTAGGGCAGGTAGCTGCCCTTGTAGTGTAGGCCTACACCCACCTCGCTCTTCCTTTCCAGGACCCAAGTGCTCAGATTGGTGAGAACTGCACAATTGGCCCCAATGTCACCATTGGGGCTGGGGTGGTGGTGGAGGATGGGGTACGGATCAAGCGCTGCACCATCCTGAAGGGCTCCCGTATCCGCTCCCACTCCTGGCTAGAGTCCTGCATTGTTGGCTGGCTGTCGTCTGTGGGTCAGTGGGTGAGTTACCTGGCAGGCTGGCGCATGCCTGCAGCAAGGCCCAGCAGCCAGTGAGGCTGGCTGTGTGTTTATCATAAACACTTGCTGGTTAGTTGGCTACACATGGCTGCTGGTGCTCCCTGGTGAGTCATGGCTGTGACCATTTTCTTTTTGGGGGCACTGGAGGGGGCCATGCCTGGCTGGTTTGGGGGTGCTAAGGCACAATCCCTTTCTGCAGAAGAACAGAGGTGACAGCTGGGGGCAAGGATACAAACTCCAGCTCTGGGGTGGAAGTCTGGCTTTGGGGCAGGCTTCAGTTAGAGAGACCAGATCCCAGTTCATCCCTCCTCCTTGAGCAGGCATGGAAGGGGCTTGCCAGCTTGAAAGGGCCAGGCTGCTCCCAGCCCAGGGAAACGTGGGGGTGGGGGGGCTGTTGCTGCACCTGGCTGCAGTGGTAGGATTCCCATCTCTCCTCTAGCCTAGGGCTTGTTGTGGGGGAGGGACCCAAGCAGGAGCCAGGAGAGGCAGCATTGAGTGAATGAAGCACTGGGCAAGTCCACCCATGTACCCACACTGTGGGAGACATGCTGCCTCTGGGGCAGGGCTGCTGCAACTATGCTACCACCCTGCCAGCTCGGCCTTTAGGGAAGCATGTGGTGGGGACTGGCTGACAGGCGGCCTGTCTCGGTTAGGTGCGGATGGAGAACGTGACAGTGCTGGGTGAGGACGTCATCGTCAATGATGAGCTCTATCTCAACGGGGCCAATGTGCTGCCACACAAGTCCATCGCTGAGTCGGTGCCGGAACCACGCATCATCATGTAGCTGCTGGGCCAGGCCTGCTACTGAACTGTTAACACTTTGTTTCCTGGAGCAGAGCCCTACATGCAGGGGTGGGCACTGGAGCTGGCTCTGCTGGCACAGCATCTCTGCCAGGATGCCTAGGAGGGATTCACAGCAGGGCACAGCACTAGGCCCTCATGGGCTGCTGGGCTCTGAGGAGCTAGGGGCTAATGGGGGTTTGTGGCCATGGGGCTGCTGTCAGGGGGCAGCAAGGGGGAAGAGCTCGATCCTGTAGCAGTAGAAAGTGTTCAGGGAAAATAGGGGGCCACAGCTGCAACATGCCTGTGCTGGTAGGAGCCAGGTGTGCCGCTGAGGGCCAGGCATACAGGGCCCTACCCAATACAATTACACTGTCTAAAAGTGCTGAATGCCCGTGTGTCACCTTTGTGCCGTGGCTGGTTCTGTGGCCCCTGCCCACCCCATTTGGGTTGGGGCTGGCACAGCCTTACTTTCCATACCATTCCTGTGTGTCTTTATCCCCCTGAGGCAGCTGGGGGCTTGCCCCCTGCCCAGACACAGCTGCTTCTTGATCCCCAACCCTTTCATTCCCATCTGCCATACACACACAAGTTGCCACCACATAAAGAAGAATAATTTAATACTCCCATGCAGGGAAGTGACCCTGGCTGGGGCAGGTAACACAGCACCCAATGCACAGTACTGAGCAATCCCACAGGGCTGGTCACAAATCACACACCACTGCTAGTCCCACCCCACCTGCAGCAGAGCTCAAGCATTAGCCTTGTCCCCAGCTGAGACCCAGGCCAAGGCTCCTGCACAAACCAGCAGGGATCCCCAACCCTGCTGCCAGCTAGCACATCCTCCAGGAGCTGCAGGGTGAGGTGCCACCTACTTCGCCCCCACCAGGCTGAAGCTGGGGGACTGCAGGCTGCCAGATCCCAGCCAATTACAGCCCAGCAGAGAACTCAGCCACCAGGCCTAGACCAAGCCAGCTGTGAACAGCCTCTGCTCTTTGTCTAGCTTAGCACAGAAACAGTAGCTCTCCTCAGTCTGGCTGCCTGGTACCTAGAGCTGGGGCCAAAGCATGCCTCACCCCCAGCAAAGGGAAGCTGGCAGTGGCTCAACACAGCACTGCCAGTCCCAGGCAGCGCATAGGCTCACACATGAACAAATGCTCCATAGCAAATGGCAACAGCAGCAGGACAGGCCCTGGGGGCAGCCAGGCTCCAACAGGCTGTGGTGGTGAGTACATGCTGGCATTAGCCTCCCCAGGGAAAGGTGGCCCCTCAGCCCTTACTGTATTAGGCCTCCCCATACCTGCTGAACGAGCCAAGCCCAGCCTTGGCTCAGACAGGGCAAGAGCAGCACCTCCACCATCTGCTGGTGACCCTCACCCTCGTGAGCAAGGGGGCTGAGCCATGGAAGGGCCCACAACTAACCAGAGCTAGGCCACCCCCTACTGGAGGCTGAGGGAAAGGAGCCTCTGGAGCCTGCAGGACCAGCCCAGGCCCCCTGCTACGAGCTGACCGGCTTGATGAAGTCATCCACGCCTGTGATGGTGGCCTTGCAGAAAAAGCAGTCCTTGTTGTTCATCAGGTGCTGATTGATGCATGCTCTGAAAAGACAAAGCCTGTACCATGAGGGAGTTGTGCCCAGCCCTGCACCTAGCACACCAAGGCAAAGCTCTTCCCTTGAGCAGTGGAGCCCATGGCTGCACCCCTGCTCTGTCACCCTGCAGCAAGGTCTGGAGCCCCAGTGCGGTGAGGGATGGGGCCTGGCCCTCTCACTGGGGAGCCCCTCCAACCACATGCAAACATGTCCAAGAGCTTCCATGGAGCATGAGCCAGGTCTTTGGGCTCCAGACGCAGGCAGTCTTTGCCAGGGGAGGGGTTCAAGGGGAGCGGAGAAGCATTGCTCTCCCTGGCTCCTATCCTGTGGGGCCGAGCAGACTCCCTTGTTCCTGGCCCCCAGTAGGGAGGGAAGGGGCAAAGGGCGGCCACAGTTACTCACTTGCAGGACTTGTGGGAGCATGGCCTGAAGATGGCCGAGATGGGGTGTGCGTAGCAGATGGGGCACAGGTCCTCCTCACTGGTTGGCTGCAAAGACAATCACCCGGCCTCAAGTTAGCAGCTGAAGGCACCCACACACTCCCTAGGGCTGCCTCCTGCCAGATAGCAGCACTGGGGGTGCTGCACCAAGTGGCCTGAGCCCAGCACTCCTGTCCCTTGTAGCCCAGGCTGGCGGCTTCCCCGGGGTTGCTCAGGCTGGCAGCCTGTGTAGCACCCTGGGGCCAATTTCAGCTCAGCCAGCGTAGCAGGGATTTAATCCTGGAGAGACTCAGACTGCCTGGGGATTCCCAATCACACCTCATACCCCAGGTTTGGCCAAGGGAGCCTCTGCCCTGGGGAGTTTTCCCAGCCAGCCCTCACCCCAACACGCCCACTATGCGGCAGGGCAGCAGTCCTGCACCCTGTGTGGCCATCTCCCAGTGGTTCCAAGCTGCCAGGCACAGAGAAGTGGGTGCATTTAGCATTCAGCAGAGTACTGGGTACACAGCTGGCTGGGCTGTGCAGTGGCCAAGCTAGGCAGCATGTGCAGAGCCAGCCCCACAGCTGCCCAGGCTGAACCCTCCCAAGTCACCAGTCCTGAGCTGACATGACTGGTTCCCCCACCTCCACCCCACAAGGCTGCTGGTGTCTGGACTGGGCAGGGGCTGGATGGATGGGACTCACCAGCGTGGAGGCAGCTGCCTGCTTTGACTCTTCACTCAGGTGGCTCAGCATCCGCTCCACCTTGGCCAGCTCCTCCAGGCTGATGTAGTCGGTGTCTGCGGAGGGAAGGGCTGAAGTGAAAGGGAAGAGAGCACCAGAACTGGCCCCAAAGGGGAGGGTGGTACTTGTGGGGCACACAGCACAGCTCTGTGCCTGACTTCGCGCCAGGACACCCCACTGGCCCAGGAATGGTAAACTGCAGCCAAGTTGGCTGGACAGCACAGTGGCTCTGTGCAAGCTGCAGTGTCCCCCTCCTCCCCCACAGGCAGATACAGGACGAGCCGGAGGGGGTGTCCAGGATCCTGGCAGCATAGGAGACAAGCAGAGTGCTGGTCACGCCTCTCCCTCCCTGCAGGGCAAGGCCAGAGAGACGGGCACCTGTTCTCTTCCAGCAGCTGTGTCCATGCGTTAGAGCCTGCCTGAAAGCCACTGGTGGGCAAGCAGCATTGACTGGGGTTTGGAGAGGGCACCGAGGGTCAGAGGGCCCGAAGGTGGCATCCAAGCAAGTAGGTTGGGCTGGGGGAGCTAGGACCAAGGTGGCAAACAGGTCTAGGCCAGCAGGGATGTGAGGGGGCAGCTGCTGGTTCTGGGAGAGGCTGCAGTGTCAAGGCCCAGGGCAATGAAGGGGTGGTGTGGGGGGAGGGGGCACTCAAGCTGTGTGATGAGAGGCTGGGCAACCCTGACAAGACAAGAGAGGCTGGAGGTACACAGTGTTTGGGGGACCCTGCCATTTCCAAAGGAGGCAGGAAAATTCCTCAAAGATTATTTATTTTCTGCTACCTAGCAGCATCTCCTCTCGCTGCAGCTCATGGAGCTGGATCAGCACGCTGTGGCCATGCCTTCTCTGCTCCCACTTGCTGCCAGAGGAATATTCCCAAGCGGTAAAACTGGAATAGCGTTTACAAATATTCCAAAAATAATGACATTATGTACATTGGACCAAGGAAGACAATCCTATGGTAACAATTCCACTTAGTATCTAACCCTGGCTCCTGAGCCATCCAGGGTGGGGAGAACTGTGGGAGACGCTGCTAGCAGAAAGGAAATTATCGCTACAAAATCTTTGATTCTCCCACAGTTCTGGCTGTCTGGGAAGTAGCAACCAGATATAGGGAGGGTTATGAAACAAAAGTTTGATAGAAAAGTACCCCCTGCCCCTTTTGTGAACTTGCTCAAAATCTGTACTATATCTGAGCCATTGCCTGCAGCATCATTCTGCCATAGGAGCCTCTTCAGAAGACAGAAGGCCCACCCTGTGGAGCTTAATGAAGATGTTAGCTGTAGACCAGGGGTCTCAAACATGCGGCCTGCAGGGTTATTTCCTGTGGCCCGCCAAGCATCCTGCGCCCCCCCGGAGTTATTTCCTGTGGCCCGCCAGACTCCCCTCCCCCTGCTTCCCCTCCCCCCAGTGCGCTGAGTCCCTGCTCCTCTGCCTACCTGCAGGTGCTTCCCGCTGCCAAACAGCTGTTTGGCAGCACTTAGTGCTTTCTAGGAGGGAGGGAGGAGGAGCGGGGAGCCACGTGTTCAGGGGAGGAGGCGGAGAAGAGGTGGGGCAGGGATTTGGGGAAGGGGTTGGAATGGGGCAGGGAAAGGGTGGGAACAGGTGGGGCAGGGGCAGGGCCTCATGGAAGGGGTGAAGTGGGGGCGGAGCCGGGGGCAGCATTGGGGGAGGGAGGGTCAGTGATGCTGCCCTCGGGCCAATGTACAATTTCTCATGTGGCCCTCATTGTGATTTGAGTTTGAGATCCCTGCTGTAGACCAAGTGGCCACTTTGTAAATTTCCAAAGCACTTGCTTATTTCTCCCATGAGGCTGCTAAGGATCTCATGGAGTGCACCTTGATCCCTTCTGGGACTGGAGCCTCTGAGGATTCAGGGTTCCACAATACATAGTGTGATCCACCTAACGATGGAGGACTTGGAAGCTCTGAGTCCCTGGCATTTCGAATAGAAGGACACAAATTAGGAGTCCGATCTTCTTGTGGATTCTGCACAATTGAGAGATTTTCAAAGCTCTTCTGACATTCCAGGTCTGCCACATCTTTGCCATTGGATGTTGTAGTTTTAGACAGAACAAAGGAAGCACAGCTTCTTGGGAAGTGTGAAAGAAGGAATTTACCTTAGCAAGAAAGGATGCTGGTGTCCTGAGCCCCACTTTGACCTCATGGAACACCCAGTAAGGCTCATGTATGGATAAGGCTGCCAGCTCCAACACTTGCCTGGTGGACATGACAGCTACTAAGAACCAGTCTTAATGGATAAATGAAAGGCCGACACTGGAGTCAGAAGCTCAAAGGGATGGCTGGCAGGGCCCTCAAAACTAGCAGTAGGTCCCATGCTGGGAAGACTGGCCTGACTGCTGGTCTGGCTAATTGGACTGCTAGAAGGAATCTGGCTACCTGTGGATGCTCTGCAAGGGGGCCAAGGATCCTACAAATAGCACAATACTAAGAGCAGACGCCTGACATGAAAAGATATTCAGCTGAAGGTCTCTGTCTATGTCTTCTTGGAGAAAGTCCAGAATAGCTGGAATTCCAGGATTTCTGTGATTTGCATTGTGTTCTTGGTACCAGTTGTAGAACCTGGACCACAGAGAACAGGATATTTTTAGTATTGATACTCTCCTAGATGAAAGCAATGACTTAATGAATCTGGAAGATGGATCAAGACCTTCTAGTGCTTCTTTGTCAATAGCCAGGCTGTTAGTTGAAGCTGTTTTGGGTCTGGCTGAAGAACAGGACCTTTTGAAAGGATGTCCAGTCTCCACGGAACCTGGAGTCGGAGTCTCAGTTTCAGCTCTATCAGGTCTGAGAACCAAGGTCTCCTTGGCCAATGAGGAGTTATAAGCATTACCATTGCCTGCTCTCATTTTATTTTCTGAACCACCTTCCTCAGTAGCAGAAAAGGTGAAAACGTGTCAAGTAGGCCCTATGGCCAACTGTGCAATCAGGCATCTGTGCCCACGGCTCTGGGGTCTGCCTCACTTGTGAAGTATTTTGGCTTCTTTGCATTTGATGATTCACAAATGGGTTGGTTAAAGGGAGGCAGAATATATGAATGGTGAGTCCTGATTCAGAATCATTTGGAGTTGTTGACTCTGCGCCTGGTAAGACCATCTGCCCTTTTGTGGTTCAGATCCACTTTGATATGGATCACCCTGAGGAAAAGGCAGAACCGTTCCATCCACCTCACTATTTCAATTGCTCACACAAGTAGTGCTGGATGCCTTGTTCCCCATTGGTTGTTTAAATATGCAGACATAGTCATAGTATCTGACTGAACCAGGACATGGTTCCCCCTTACAGTGAGCTGGAACCTTTGCAGAGCTAGCTGAACAGCTCTCAGCTCTAGGAGGTTTATGCTGTTAGCCTTTGTCTCCTAGCTCCAGAGGCCCTGGGTTGTTTGGGTCTCGAAGTGAGCTCCCCAGCCCTCCAGGCTGGCCTTGGTTGCAAGGACTAAAAGATCTGGAAGGCAGATGGGCATGCCTTTGCAGGCATTATCATGGGCTGACCACCATTATAAGGAGTTAAATACCTGTGTTGGAACCCGTACTTGATCTTTCATGTGTTCCGGGAAATGTTCCCACACCTTTAGTATGAAGACTTGAAGAGGTCTGATGCGTGATTGTGCCCATGGAGTGATCCCTATGCACACTACCAGGAGTCCTAGCACAGCACAGTGCTATGGTAGGCTTGCTACAGCTCTGGAGCAAGATGATAAATTTCTGGATTTTCTGAAACCTTTCTAATGACAGGTTTCAGAGTAGCGGCCGTGTTAGTCTGTATCCACAAAAAGAAAAGGAGTACTTGTGGCACCTTAGAGACTCAAAAATTTATCTGAGCATAAGCTTTCGCGAGCTACAGCTCACTTCATCGGATGCATGCAGTGGAAAATAGGGTAGAACTCCTCTTCTGAGGGGCTAATGGTATCCCTGGGGAGGGACGCTACAGCAGGGTCAGCCTTTGAAGTCCTTTGGGTCTGGAATGTTATGGAGCCTGAGGTCGCTCTTGTTAACGTGCTGGCCCTTGCCTGGCTTACCCCACTCACCCCCTGGAAGGAAGAATGAAGGGGTATCCCCACCACTGGAGAGGGTTTTGAGGGAAGAAATTGACTCCGAGGCTCACTCTCAGGAGCTTGCTGAGGTTGGGTTTGAATCATGCAGATAACCTTGCTGTACATGGCTTGACATTTCTCTAGGAGAAAAAGCCTTTGCTGAGTTTTCCCCGCAGCCTGTTTGTAGTCAGCGCCAGACAGCTCGCCTTCCGCAGGGGGAGGAGTCGGAGGACTCGGACCTCCTGGATTTTATGTGCCTTTTCTTTCCCCTTTCAGATTTTTTATCTTTTTTGCGAACTTTGGGAGCATAGAAACTCTGCTGCGGCTTTGGGGAGGCCGCCTACGGCTTGTCTTCCGTAAGGCCTGGAGCCCTCTTGAGAGGTCTGGCTCTGAACCTGGGACGGGGAGGGGGAACTAGTCAGGGCCCACCTGGACAGCTCGGGAGGGTGGGAGCTGATTAGAAGCCCTGCTTCTTTTCCCATGGTGCTCAGGACCCACTTTACAACTTGCAAGGAGGCAGAGGACACTCGTGGCCCTGCAATCCTCCCCTCTTCTGCAAGAGGCCCCTGGGACTTATCCCCTTAGTTAAGCAGTCAGGGTTCTCCTTTCTTCTGGAGACTCTCCCTGTTCTGCACTGTGGTTCCTGGTCCATTTTCCCCTGTTGGACTCACAGCTGCCTTGGTAGGTAGGGACCCCACTTGCCTGCTCGACTCGTAGCCCCAGGACCTAACAGAATTAGGGATGGAAGGCTAGGTGCATGCTAGGCACAACTCATCATCTGCCAAGCCTGAGAAGGCTGCCTCACAAATCGAGCACTGCTTGGATTTGACTCAGTGCTTTCTTGGCTGCACGTGTAAGGGACAGAGGAGCCAGTAGGGAAACACTGCAGCCAAGGTTCAAGGAGGGTTAAAACTTAGGAGGACGAGGAGGAGGAATGCCCAGGAGAGAGAACCCTGCTCCCCACTGCCCACAGAACAAGACAGAAAGTTAAAATAGAAGGAGTAAGGGCAGGAGCAAAAGGAACAGCCACAAAGGCAGAGAATGCGGCAGCAAGTGGGAACATGCGGGGGGGGGGGGTGACAAGAGCGTGTGAGCCAAAATGCTGATTCACCTCTGTGCGCTGCAGAGAGATGAGAGTGGCCGAGATGTCCAGAGCTGGGGGAGATGCTGGGCTGCAGAACAATGCTGCACAGCCCCCAGTCACTGTGCTAGAATTGCAGTGCCACGGGGAGGGGAGCAGAGCCTGAGCACTCAGTGTTCAGCTACACAGAGGGGCTTGGGCAGGGCATGCCCGCAGGTATTGGGATCCAGGTGGTGAGTGACTGAGCTGAGCACAGCATGCTCTGAGAAGCTAATTAGCAGCTCCTACCTGTGCATAAGGAGAGGTGCTCAGAGCCATGCATGAGCACATACCACCTGGCCACTGCATTTCCAGCACATCTTCCCTTTGCAGTACTAGGAGACAATACATGGTACTGCTAGGCAGAGCTCAGAGAACACCCCCTCACTAAGTGGGCACACACCAGCTGCAGCCTACAGGGCCTTACTAGATGCCAGAGTTGCACTAACGTGCAAGTGGCCGGCTACCCAAGGCCACATGCTGGCCAGTGACCGACTGGCTGAGTGCCACCCTGCTGTGGCACTAGGAGACAACTGTGGATTCACAACTGTAACAAGAGCAGTGCTCAGCCAGCTGTGGCAGAGAGCAGCAACACCGGCATCCTGAAGACCAACAGATCCAACCCCAGGCCGGCCAGCTGGTCTCCGCTCTTGCAGCAGGGCCAGACCCTTTCTCCTGGAGCAGGGTCTCTTGTCTCAGCAGAGGTGGGACGCTCCAGCCTACTGCCCGCTCCCAAGGTGTGTGCCTGCCCAGAGGGACCAGCAGTCCGGGCAGGGCAGGTGCTCAGAACAGCTCTGTGCTGGCAGAGTGGGGACTCCAGCCACTTCAAGGCACACCCCGCCTCTCCTCTTTGCAGCACAGTGTTGTGGTACAGCCTTACTGCCGGGAGCAAAGGGGGCAGCCCAGCCCTGCCCTTCCCCAATGGGCACTGCAGCACCTGGGCTCTGAGCCATCCTCAGCTAGGTCACATGGAACTCCAGCCAGAGGGCGCTATGACTGCCCAGTGCCTCTTATGACTAAGGGGGATTTTCTGTCATATTTTTATGAAGCCTATGTGTGCCTCAGTTTCCCTCTTATTTTGCAAGTCTGCTCAGTGTGGGTGTGGGATAGGGGAGGGGACTGTTCGCTCTCGGGGCAGGCTGAAGGAATAGTATGAATGGCACTTAGCTGTCTGAGCTGGGATGTGTCACTTGGAAAAAACTGGCCCAAGGCTGACCCTGTATCAAGGGCACATATGAGAAGACAAACGGCAAAGCCAGTCCCCAGGACATGGACACCTATTGACCAGCAGCCCGGAGGGAGCTGGATTCCCCGCCCTCAGGCCCCAGCCCGAGCACAAAGGCTGGGAAGCGTGAGGTGCGGGGATAGGAGCTGGCTGCTGGAAGGAGTCGGGGTCTTGCATGGGAACTGATCAAGGAGTCGGACAGAGACACAGCCTGAACCATGGGGTTCACTACAGCATGGTGGGCCCTGGCTACCCAGACGGAACTTGGGCTGGACATTACCAATCAGTTCCCTGGGCTCCCCTCAGACTCCCCGATTCTGTAGCCAGATGACTAGTAAATGGTTCCCTGGCTAGGAACAGATTCCTGGTGTCGTTGCAGATACTCTAGAGCACTGCACCCTGGAGGGGACAGTACAAGCCTCCGGCAGGGGTCTGGTTGGGCTGGACTCGCTGCAGGGAGCCACCCAGAGAACCAGCGATCATTGGTGCTGATGGCCCAGGGATGGAGGTCATGGGCCTGTCCCACTGGAATTATGTGGGGCCTTGGGGCCTGGCACACCAGAGGGAGCACTCCCAGGAGACTGGTGACAAGCTGGGGGGCACAGACCAGGCCCTGTGACTGCATGACACCTCCACCCTGCCAGGGACCCATGGGCACTGTTGAGACGTGTTTTTAGTGCCCTGGGAGCTGCCCCTTCTCTGCCATTCCTTCATTTTGCTTCATTCCCTTGGCACTGAGAGAAGGCTGGAGGGGCTGTGGGCATGGCCGGGGGGTGGGCCTGGATCCTGGGGTAGGACAGGGCAGCTGGCAAAGACTTTCTCTTTCCTCTCTTGCCGGAAGGTGCCTGGGAAAAGCAGACTTTGAGGGGAAGCTCTGTGCCAGGGCCTGGGTGCACCCACATCGCTCCCTGGCACCGAGCTCTGCCTTGGCTCACTGTCCTGCCCTGAGGTGTGTGCAGGGTGCAACCGGCTCCGGCCCCCTGCAGTACCCAAGGGGAGTCACTCAGCCCGTGGAGGAGCAGTGTCCTTCGTGGCCCATCCCCTGCTGGCTACAGGCTGCCGCGGGAATCTCTCCCTGCCAAGTTGAGTCTCTTACACAAATGGGTTGAAGACCAAGCTGTAAAAACCAACCCCGTGTTGTTCCCCAGGGTGGGGGAAAGGGGAGGCCCACCCCCCACCCCAGAGCATGACCCCAGGGGCCAGCCTGCCTCTGAGGAGGACAGAGCTCCAGTTCCCAAAGCTGGCCCAGCCAGATGCCCCAAGGGGACACCCCCATGGCCCTCGCCTGGTGCAGTGCAGATACTTACAGGTGTGCAGGGAGAAATGTCTCTTGTCTGCAGAGGGAGGCATGGCTGCCAGAGCTGATGGCTCTGCATGGCCCAGCAGGTACTGGATGGAGCGGAGCTGGAAGCAGGGGTCCGCCAGGAGCACAGCTGTCGCCCGCTTGGCCCTGCAAACACACACACAAGGTCAGGCCTCTATTCCCCATGGAGAGCAAGGGCAGGGCACTGGGAATTGAATTGCAGCAGCCAGCTGCTTCCTAGACTCCAGGGAAGAGCTGTGATAACCTGGAGTCCTGCACTGCAGGTCATTAGCCAGGGCTGACCCTCCCACCAGTACCATACCGGGCACTGGGACCAGACTTCTGCGGGGTGAGGACTCCATGACAGCAGAGGTTTGCCCTGGCATTGAGGCCAGTGCTTCCAAAACCCCAAAGCAACCGACAGCCTAGCTTGTCCTGCCAGGCGCTTGCCCCCCTTGGTCAGGGCGCTGCCAGCAGCGGAGCTCTCAGTTCCAGGAGCCAACAGCTGGGGCAGCTCCTCATGCAACCCATAGGCCAGGGAGCCAGGCAGGAGGGCCTGTGTAGGACTGGCCACATCACCCCAGTACACTAGATAAAAACACTCCCTGCTCAGACAGAAATGGCTGTGGGCTCTTTGGAAGGATCCGATTAAGCGCTGGCTGGAGGAAAGAGAGTAACTGCAGACAAGGAATCAGATCCCTTGGTACCCACTGGGGGCAGCCCTGCCCCTGTGCACAGGTGGCAGAGCCCCAGGTCTGTTGCTGGCTCTAGACCCTGCTGCACACTGACTTTAGCAGAGGCCAGGGCAGTGCAAGGTGCTAAACTACCAGGGCCCAGTGAACAGCCTGGGGAGCAGCAGGTGTTCAGCAGCTAGAAGGGGCAGTTACTTACCTATAACTGGAGGTTCTTCAAGATGGGTGGTTCCTGTCTGTATTCCACTGAGGGCAACGTGCATGCGCTGGGCACCCGTAGCCGGAGCTTTCCAAAATAATAGCATCCGTCGGACTGCACATACCTCTTGCGTTGTCCCGTGGGTTTGCCTGAAGGGTGGGGCAAACCGACCACATCTCCAGTTCCTTCTCCACTGCAGATCCACAGATCCACAGCAGAGGGGAAGGAGGGTGGGTCTGGAGTACAAGTAGGGACCACACATCTTGAAGAACCTCCAGTTACAGGTAAGTAACCTCCCCTTCTTCAGGCGTTGGTCCCTATCGTATTCCACGGAGAGGGACTAACGAGCAGTACGTAGGTAGGAGGAGGGTGTGAGGTAGAAGACGAAACTGTGGAACGGAGGGCCGCCATGCCGAACAAGGCGTCCGTCACAGAATCATGCACTAGATCATAGTGAGAAGAAAACGTGGGAACCGAACTCCATGTGGCTGCCTTACATGTATCTGTGAGGGGAATGTCATGGAGTGCGGCAGCAGCTCTCGTGGAATGGGCCCCTATCCCACCCGCTGTGGACCGTCCCGAAAATTGATAGAGCGTAATGCACCACTTCAAGAGTCTCTGGGGGGGAGACAGCCTGCTCTTTAATTCTCTATGCTATGGCAACAAATAGTCTAAGAGACTTCTGGAATGGCTTTGTCCTTCGCAGGTAAATGGCCAGGGCCCTACGAACATCAAGAGAATGGAGTCGTTCTACACTGGAGGCATGCAGTTTGGGGAAGAAAACGGGCAGGTGTATGGGTTGGTTTAGGTGGAAACGGGAAACCACTTTTGGTAGGAACTTCAGATGCAAGCGCAGGGAGACCTTGTCCTTATGGAATGTGGCCACCATAGCCCTCAGGTCACCACCCTCCTTGCTAAAGCAATGGAGACAAGGAAAGCGACCTTCATGGAGAGGTGAGATAGAAAGCAGGAGGCCAGAGGTTTGAAAGGAGTGTTCATTAACAGGTTGAGGTCCCACTAGGGAGCAATAGGCTGACTGGGCAGGTATTTACATAAAAGGCCCTTCCAGATGGGGCAGTCAAGGGATAGGTAAATATCAAATGCCCCTCCACTAATGGCTAATTAATGGCACTAGGCGCTAATAACTAGGCGCTAATGGCTGCTGCACGCACCCTGCTGGAATTGAGAGCAAGCCCCAATGTCTTTAAATAGAGGAAATAGTCTACGAGCACCGGGATGCCCACAGCTTCGGGGGCAAGGCCTTGTTCTTGTACCCTGGAAGTGAAATGTGCCCGTTTAGCCTGATAGCAGTAACTCATAGAGTCCTTCTGGCTTCTGGAAAGGAAGTTTTATACTGGCAACGAGCATTCTCATATTAACGGAGGTGTCCATCCAAAAACCAAGCTGTCAGGTGGAAGTCCGCGGATTGGCGTGCCTGAGTCTGCCATTGTATTGTGTTAGCAGTTCCATAAACGCCTGGACCAGGAGTGGAGGACGTTTCGACATGCGGAGAAGGGGAAACCAAAATTGACAGGGCCACAACGGAGCAATCAGAATGACCCGTCACGCTCTCCTGCTGGAGTTTGTGGAGGATACAAAGTAAGAGTGGGAAGGGGGAAATGGCATAGTTCAGCTGGTCTGACCAATCAACGACTGGAGTGTCGCCCAGTGAGTAGACACCAAGTCGCCTTCTTGAGGAATATTGGGTTCACTTGCTGTTGGTGTGGGATGCAAAGAGGTCCCTGATTGGCGTCCCCCAAAGATGTCTGCAATTACCATGTCGTGCAACTCCCATTCATGGCTGGTTGCAAAAGTTTCTGCTGAGAACATCAGCAGTCACATTCTGGGTGCCAGGCAGGTAGGCTGCCAAAAAAAGGATATGGTGTGCAATACACCATTTCCATAGGCGTACCATTTATGTACACAGCATTGGGGATCTCGTGCCCCCTTGTTTATGTCGTATACTGTGGTGGTGTTATCATCATGTCCTCGTCATGTTGGACAACAGTTAGCTGGTGAGAACACATGGCATACTTCGCGCACCACCCAAAGTTCCAGTATGTTTATGTGCATCCTGGTCTCTCGCATGGTCCAAGTGTCTTGTGTCATGTGATCTCCCATCTGAACACCCCAGTTTGTGAGGATGGAAGGAAGGGCATCCCAGAGCAGACTTGTAGTGGGTCTGTCCACCATCGAAGTGAAAAGGTGACCTCCAGTGGAAAGTTGAGTATGATGTCCATGATTTGGTGCATAGGGGAGTACACTCTGCAGCCATACTTGTAGACAGCGAAGGCACAGACGAGCAAAGGGCATGATGTATGTGCATACCGCAATGTGCCCTAGGTGGGAAAGGCAGGTCCTGGCTGAGACTGAAGGTTGTTAGTCACTAGGGAAATCTGATCCAGTAGGCTCTGGAACCTGTCCCTTAGCAGATAAGCACATGGAGGCCACATTCATGCATGCTCCTATGAATTCCAGGGACCATGTAGACTGCAAAGTTGCTTTTTCAACATTGACACTCACTCCTAGAGAGGAGAGGAGTAGAAGAAGCTGGGACATCAATTTTCGAGCTTCCTCTTTGGACTGCACTGCCAGCAGTCAGTCGACCAGGTAGGGGACGACAAGAACTCCTTGATGTCAGTCTTGATGAGGTAGATGAGCTGCTACCACAGAGAAAATCTTTGTGAAAACTTGTGGGGCAGTGGTAAGTCCAAACAGGAGTGTCACGGAGTCAGCGGGGAGATGCTCTGGAACTACTCCATATGAAGCCAGTCAGGACTCTGGGGGAGCATGCCTCCTCTCCCTGAGCATACTGTCTCCAGTGCAAGAAGCTTACAAAGCTTCCACCTTCCTGGGTCTGACCTCGGAGCATTTAGCATCCCTTTCCAGACCGTGCGCCTCCCGCAGCGAGTCCGCCTAGGCGGGGCTCCCTGGGAAGCCAGAGGGCCCTGCAAGCCAACTCTGCAGTCAGATGTGACTCTCAGACAGCCGGAAAAACAAAAGGTTTATTAGTCAACAGGAACATAGCGTATGACAGAACTTGTTAGCACAGAAATCAGTGACTTTCAGCCAAGTCCATCTTGGGGGAGGGGAGCCCAGACTCAGGGCTCTGGCCCTCCCCCTGTGCCCCAAGCCAGTCGAGACTGACTCACTTCCAGCTGCCTGGCCCCTGCCCTGCCTGTTGCTCCTCCTCTGGCCTTAGGATGCTTCCTGGGCCAAAAGTTACTTGGTCCCATCCCTCTCCTGGGTCTCTGATTACGAAGGGGCAGCCATGGCATCCATGCAGGCAGCTGGAGCAGCCCCCGCAAAAAGTCACACACCCTTATTCCCACCACCTAGACATTGGTGCAATACACAGGGAAACTGAGGCACACACAGCATTCATACAAAACAGTAAGACTCACATAGGCTCACATACAACATAGCAAGAGAAAATCCTCACTATGTCACAAGGAGTACCCTGTATTGGAAGTGTCGAGGCCCCACCTTGAACCTCAGGAACTGTCTGTGAGTCGCATATATGTCGATATGGAAGTAGCCATCCTGCTTATCAAAAGCCTTTTTCTACTGGGGGAATGATGGCTGCAAGTGTGACCATGTGGAATTTTGGCTTGTGAATGGAACGGTTGAGGTGTTGGAGACCCAAGATTGGTCTCCATCCCCTGTTCTTTCTGGGTACCAGGAAATAGTTGGGAGCAGAACCCTGTGCCATGGAGGGGTATAGGGACTGGCTCCACTGCTCCTCTCCACAGGAGGGAGTCCATCTCTAGGGTAAGAATGCTATCATGAGAGTGATTCCTGAGAAGGGACTGAGGCGGGGGATGTGGAGGAGGCATCATCATGAACTTGATGGTATAGCCACGTCAAATGACATCCAGGAATCCCTGGTCCATTGTTATTGCTCTACTTGCAGGCGGAATTGGAGATGACCCCCAAAAGGGGTGGTTGGCAAGAGCATTGGTGTACAGAGTTGTTGATGGCTCTCTAGTTGCACTCAGAAATATCTCTTTCGCAATGACCGAGTGTGTTGTGCAGAGGTCTGCGTTGTCAGAACAGGCAGACAGGTTCTGCGGGCCTTAGGACATTTCTCATGAGGTTCGTAGGTGGGAGAAGTGGGGGGGTTCTGTAGTGCTGTGTAGGTGGCAGGCAATAACATTTTTTCTTTGGTGCCAGTGTATGTATGCTTAAGGACTGTATGGTGGCACCAGTGTCTTTCAGTGAGTGTAAGGAATCATCCATCTTCTGGTTGAAGAGGT